TTGGTTTTTGTCCGTAAACGCAAACATTCTGCTACGCAATTCTAACACTAATTACAAATTTTAAGTTTGGCTTGTCAATTAAAAATTTTCAAATTGTTTAGGGACCTACTGATTAGTCTAACCATATTATTAATCAGAATGACATACCCCTCCTCCGAGGAAAGCATTAATTTGAATTGGCCCTAAGGTAGTTCCAGGAACAGCAGATTGTATTGGTTTGTATCTTATTGCAGACGCGGCCACTGGATCATTTATAGCCATTGTTTCTGACATCAAATATTAAAAATTCAATATTGAAAAAGCATAACTAGATATTTGGAATTGCCTAAATTATATGCAAAAGGAGATGAAGAGATAATGAAGGGAGACAATTTAATAAAAATAATTTCAAAACAATATACCATCGATTTCAACAGAGTTCCATTTGAGCCATGTGAGAACCAAGCCAAAGGAAAAAATTGTTTATTATATGCTGCAATATAGTGTATATCATATGTTTAACACAAGCCCATGCTGTTTTGTATAGTATATACATGGTGTTTAAGCTATTCCGTATAGTTTATTATATTGCTGCTACATAGTGTATATCACCTGTTTAAGACAAGCCTACGCTGTTTTGTATAGTATACATGATGTTTAACCTATTCGTACCACTTTAACAGAACTAATGCTTGCATGGTTCAGCATCCAAGGAATGGAAGTGTTCAAGCACAATGACCACATGGCAGAAAATAATACCAAATTCTGTACATGGCAACGCAGGAATTCAACATAATTAAAGCAATATATATTTAGCACTCACAGAAATTTTCCAATCATTGAAAACGGATAGGCCTAGTCATAATATTTAGGATTGCAAGGAAATATAACTTACTAAGTAAGGCATTAATGAAGGCGGATTTTCCAACATTAGCTGAACCCTGTAAAATAAAAGTTGTAATTGATTGATGTTCAGGACAAACTGATGAATTTAGGAGCTTAAGGACCAGAGGAGAAAGATTTTTATTCACAAACACACATAATCAAGAAAATGTAAAATTTGTATTATAAATGCGACGATAAAGCCAGCCATCTTCCAAAACTTGGAGTTGAAAATTGGACAAGTACATGTTTTACATTATGGAAATAAATAGGAACCAATTGCAAGTTAACACCTCAATCCTTCCATTATATGCAAGTCAGATAAACCAAAGATATCAGAAGCACAGGAATTCCTCACTAAAGGCGTAAATGTAGGAACATGAGCTCATGTGTCAATCATCACCTGCTTAAGAATATTAAACTTCAAATTCGGAGACTTACCAGAATGTAAACATCTCTTCCCTACACACAAAATATAAGAAAAGGAATTTAAGTAGAGAGAAAAGTAAGGGGGGAAAGGTAAACAGAAGCACAGGAACTGAATAATATCACGTGTTTTAAAGAATGCATAATGATTTATTACAGAGACATTTCTTTTGCTAAAGATCATCATTATATACTATTTATATACAATTAATTATCATTACTGTAGTTGGTACTGTTTTCAATTTAAAAAATAAAAATAGATATAAAAACTTTTCAAATTAGAACCAAATGATTTGAGTAACATTACCCATAAGTGTGATAACATTTTCAGTAAAGATTCAACATCCTTATAAATATGGATAACAAAGTTGAAGCCATCTTAGATGTAAAATTTAAATGGAGAAAGGGGAAAACCTTAGATGTGAGCCATTCCCAAAGAACCTCTTAAATCAGTAATAAAGAAAAAGGTAACCCATAAAGGAGAAAAGAACCTTCTTCTCTTTCTGGATTTCTGATATCACTCCAGTTATTCCAACCAACGATTTGGAACTGGTGAGATGGACACTGAGAACACTGCAATAAATATCAGCATTCAAAATTTGATAAGTTAAACCTTTCATCAAAATGTATGCAGTTTTGCAAATGCCTTGTCTCTCTAAACTTCTAATACTATATAATGGAACAAAATGACAACAATTAGAAAACATTAAGTTAATAATTAATTTATTACATAGAGGATACCTACTTCAGATTCTTTCTCATGGTAGCCTCTACTACCCAATCCCCGACACAATTAAGATCAGTATCTCTTGGAAGGAGATCAACCTACAAAGAGAAATTCTATTAAATGTAAACCATACTTGTAAATTTAAATCTCATCATAGATCTACTAAAGAAAAAAATCCTATTTAAAACATAATAAGCTGCTTGCATATTATTACCTTAGTCACCACCAGTATTATTGGGTTGGAACCAGCAAGATCTCGCACACGAGACAAAAAGCTGCCGTTGAAGTCAACAATATCAACCTAGAAGTGGTCACGTCAACAAGTTAGATGAAGAAAATTTAAAATCTTCTACGATAATTGAAATATCTTAGATGACAAATTTTTCCACTGAATAAAATGACAGCATATTTTAACGTTTACATTCAATTTGTTTTGCATAACCTTGATTGCTTATCAGATTCTTAGAATCCAATGTCAAGTCAGAAGGTACAATTGATTACAAATACTTACAGGTATAAAGCAAGCGTTTATCAAACATATGCTATCCAGTTGCTAAAAACTAGCTTTCACGCAATATCTCCTTACAATTTATTATTTTCTCCAGATAGCACTGTATGCTACGAGCTTCTCTTTTTCTCAAAATAAACTGAACGTAAATTTCTATAAAAATTCATCCATTAATTAAACTAATGCTACCTGATAACAAAAGTTTTAAAACACCTTAGCTAAATACAATTGCAAAGCACTACACCACCGTTTAAGATCCTAATTCCATCAGTTCTACCTTCTTAAGGTCATTAATATTCAGTCTATCCATTTAAAGAGTTTGTTTACCAATTTGACTATTAGAGCTTTCTGGTGACGCAAATGAGACAACTTTTGTCGAAGCTCTTCAGCGGTAACGAATAATTTACCGCCAGGATATCCTCCGTGTCCTCCAACCGCAGTTATCATCTCGCCATGCGACAAAAGCTGGCACCGTCTACACAGAACGGTTCTAAGCTGGTGATGTTTTTTCTTCTGCAGTACAAACACGCAATCAGCGTATCGAATTCAGGGACAGCCAGTGCCAATGCATAATGATGCTTCCAAAATTACAATTAGATTGAAGCAATACCAATTCATAGGTTTCAGGATCAACGTAGCCAGGGGCGACAGCATCGAAAGTGTGCAACGGAGCGCCGCAGCCGTAGCAGGAAGCGACGTTTCTAGAAGCTTTTACTACGTTCTCTTTCTTCTTTTTCTTCTTCTTGTTCTCTTTAAGGATGAGTTTGGCAGCTTCGAACGACTGCTGACGTTCGAGGAACTTCTCGCCAGGCGATGGAGCTGCAGCGCCGGTGCCTTCCGAGTCGGCGGCGGGCAAACGCGATTTCTGAGAGCGCGGGAATTCGCAGAGAATGAGGCCATGCTTTGTTGTGAGGAAATGTTGCGGAAATTTAGAGTTGGGAAGAGAAAGAGGTGTAAGGAAAGTGGATAGGGTTTTAAGCGCCATTGTTGCCGAGGTTTTGCGAGCCTAGTTGCTCGATACAGGGAGTAATGTCGAAATAAAATAATTTATTCATTAAAAGTAAAAATAAAGGAAACGATGCGTTTAATTCAGCACTATCTTTCGGGTCTAATCTAACTCACTGTTTTCTGTCATTATGACCCAAACTGTTTAGCCTGCTTACATGAGCAAATTACATTTATATTGTCTTTTATTTTTTGAAATTTTCAAGATAGTTTATTTCTTTTCTTAAAAATTTAAATATGTTTAAAATTTTGTATATGTTTATTCTGATTTTAATATCTCTTATTAAATTAATTTTAGAACTTTTATTTTTTCAATTTTATTAATTTATTTTTATGGTAATTTATAATTTGATGAAGTATACATTAATTAAAAATACGATATATAAGTATAATTAAATTAAATATTTTTTTCATTTTGATTAAGTTAAGTAGTTAATAATTAATTATTTAAGATAAATATAAATAATAGAAAATAGTTACAATAAGATTATTAATATTATTTTATATAAATAAAAGGAAGCATGTATATTTAATTTTTATAAATCATTTTTTATTTAGTATATTGTAAATAATAAATTAAAATTTAACTTTCAATTAATAGCTAAAATGTTCGTAATTCAGATTAAAACCAGATTTAAATTGTAATTATATAAAATAATTTGTAAATTAAACAATATAATAACTAAATCTTTAATCTTTAATGTAATCATATTTAATAAATTTGTTATAATATTGTTTTTATTAGATATGAATGACAATAACTAAAACTAGTATTCTTAAAATAATAAAAAAAGTAAAAAAATGTGTTTTATTTAAAAAAATAAATGTTTTACTTATTATCAATAATTATGTTTATTATTTTTTATAATAAAAAGTAAAAAATTATTCCATATTATTATTTTTGGTAAAAAAAATATTATCAGTGTTATTATTTTTCGTAAAAAAAATATACTCGATGTTATTATTTTTCTTAAAAAAACACTTTTAATGATATTATTTTTCACTCAAAAAAATCAAATTAAAATTATCAAACAATTCTTTACTTAATTTTAAAAATTATTTTCTAAAAATATTTTTTAAAAGCAAAAAATCTGTAATCTGATACCACGATGATTTTCACTCATAATTGCACGTAAAATTGTTTTACCAACTAAGAAGCTATTGAGGGACAGTAAAACAGAAAAATAAACTCTAAATTTTACTGCTCTGAATTCTTATTTTCCATAATTAGGATACAGGAAGAAGTGCTTAAAAAGAATTAATTAAAAAAATTTATGGGTTCTGTATAAAATTTGGTTAAAGTTATTTATATAAATAATTTCTTTTAATTTTAAAGAACTGTAAATTATATTAAATATTTATTAAAACTTATATATCAAACTTCTTAGCACACCATCTTAAACCCTAAAAATCACCTATTGCGAATGAAAATTAGCAATGTGAATACGAAAATCAGTACAAAGGTGAAGAATGTCAGAACTTGAAGAAAGCACGGAGAAGCGAGAAGAAGTGAAAGCATTGACCGAAGTAGGAGGTGCTACGCCATTTTTCTCTGCGCCTGAGTTCTTTGTATTCTCTTTCTCTTCTCATCAACACAATCACATCCTCCGTGAACACATAATCATAATCGTCCATTCCTGCGTCGTCATCGTTGCCATACAATACGTCTCCAAAATATTCTTTATACTCTGCGTACTGGCCTAGCTTATTCTTCTTCCTCCATGTCTCTGACATCGAAACACGAATTTGCAAACAATGAATCTGCAAATCTTCGCGCTCCTCTGATGAATCAACGAAGAATCTTCAAAATCTTAACGCTTTCTCTGATGAATATGATTTTATTCACAAAGTACATATTTTCTGAGTTCTGCTACTGTTTTATATGGGCTTCCGTATAATTTTTTTTTTATCTTTTCTTAAACAAATGATAAGAACAATCTTAACACAATTTCAAAAGATTAAGTAAAAAACCTTAACCAAACAGAATATCATATAGCATAAAATTAGTTTAATTTAAAAATAAAATAAAGAAAATCGTACATTTTATCTATAAAGAAATAAGTATTTAGTACATAATTTTCAAGGATTCCAAGATTTTTAAAGATATAGGGAGATTTAAATTTTTGTTATGCTACTCTTATAAATAGATTGAAATCAGGTTTATTATTTTATTTTTTGTTTTTTTAAACAATAACATGATTAAAATACTATTATGATTAAGAAATAAACTATTATTTATGTATTACAGTTATAAATGTTACTGATAGCTAAATCTATTATATATAAATAATTAGTAAAATATATTAGGTCAAGATAAAAAAATATTGACTAAGTTAAAATAATAATGTTTTACCATGTCTATTAAGTTTATAGTTAAAATGAACCATGTTGGTATCTGGGTTAATATATTTTTAAAAAATTAATAATTATAATTTAAATAAATAAAAAATTATCTTTATATTTTAAGATTATATTAAATTACATTTATGTATTATTCAGTTTTATCATCAATATTATTAAAAAAAAAAAAACTCATACTTTTTTTAATAAATAGTATTTACTTTCTTTTAATAAAATTAAATTTTTTTCATTTAAAAATAATAAAACTTATACCAAATTTTCAAGTTATATTACAAAATTATTATTACTACTTATTTAAAATTTAATCTATATAATATTTTTAAACTAATCAAGGAAGATGAGTGTTATTTAAAAAAATGAATATCATTTATTAAAAACACAAGAAAAGGTAGATATTTAGTTAAAAAATAGAAAAAAAAATGAACATCACCTTATTAAAAATATAAAAGAACATTTTAATATTAAAGAACAGTCATTTAGCATGACTTTAATTTTGTAACGTCATTTTATTAAAAATATATATTTTTAGAGTTTTATATTAAAAATAAAACTATTTTCATCTAATATGAATTTAATTTTAAAAGTGGTCAATATTAATACTTTATATTTTTAATTTATTATTATTTTCTTAATGTTTATTTTCTTTAAAAGTAATAATATATTTAAAATCGTGGTAGTGTCAGGTTAGTCAGTGTATTTTAAAAAGCTTAAATTAAATAATTTTTTTTTGTTGAAGATAAAGTATACGCATCCGCGTCGAAATTATCTATCATATTAGTTTTAAATATTAGATATGTGATAATAAATATAAAAAAAATGTGTAAGTACAATTAATTTAAAAAGTTGAAAAGATAATTTGTTAATGATGAAATATCTTTAAGCAATTAACATATAAAAAAATAATTAAATTAGAAATATAAAACTATTATTTTAAAACATATATATGGAGATGAATTAGAAAATATATATATAATTTTCTATCTTCTGAAGAACTGTCCTTCATGAAAATACAGAGTCAAACTTGTCAGTGATTTGTAAAATTTAATCATAATATTTTAAATATTTACAAATAGTTATTCTAGTTTTTAGTATAAAAAACAATTGAATTATAAATAAATCACTTTCATAATAAATATTTAATTACTTAATTAAGAGATAGAAAAAACTACTTGATGTGAGAAAATTTCATGAAGAACGACAAAGTGATAACAGTAAAACAGATAATCCATGAAATTACATGTAATTTTTTTTCTTTAATTATCTAATAATTCCGTCAGTTTCTCATCATTAGACTCCAGAGCAATGAATGAAGGTGATTCCACAAGGATTAAGAAAGAAATTGGTATATTATTGGTAAAGCTTGAAGAGAATGAAGCAGTAGAACCCTAACATGAATAATAGTAATTTACAGTATTTGATATAGATTGAGATAAAAACGAACGAGAAGAAAAGCAGGAGGAAAGTTACAAGGAGATGATGGAAAGTAAAGAATGTCAGAAGCTGATGAAACCACGGAGAAGTGTGAAGAACTCTAAGCATGAGAGGAAGAAGGAGTTGCAGCGGCTTGTGTGTCTGCGCTTGCGCTTGAGGTCTTTGAATTCGCGTTCTCTGCTCATCGACTCAATCACATCCTCCTTATACATGCAATCATTCATTTCTGTGTGGTCATCGTTGCCGTAGAATATGTCTCCGTCACGCATACCTTCTTTATTGACTGTGCCAGAAACGGGGAAGGGAAGAAGATGAGTGATTGGATTGGATTTGATTTGCAAAGCCCTCTGTCTATGATCCCTGTTGGCGCAGTCAACGCCCACACAAATTCCTTTGGCTGCTGTGGATAATAATCACCATTTTTTTTTCTTTTTATTTATATACACGTGTTGCTTAAAATCTTTCTTATCTTTATCTTGTTTCTAAATAAAAATATGAGTGGAATCTTACAACAACTTCAATTATACTACACCAACATCCATAAAACTAGTTTAAATTTTAAAAAATAATATAATTAATATGATCATGTTCCTTAGGAGTATATTGAATCTTTACACAATGCATTAATCTCACGTGTAAATATATATGTTTTCTGTAACAAATTGGGTTAGTTGACTTCGTTTAAATCTGTAAAATGGTAAACTTTGTGTAAAATAATGATGTATAAATACAAATGGGACATGGATAAGAACAAAACAGAAGATAAGGATAATATTAATAACAATCCTTGTTTGGTTTAATATTCTTTCACCAGCCGCCTCACTACATGATTATGTTTTATAATATTCAATAACTGGTGAGGAATACAAGTCGCAACTACTCTAAGAACAAACCTTAATGATTATATTTTATTAAATTATGCGATTTTTTGTGATTACATATGTGTTAATTTTAAAATATACGAAACATAATTGTAAAATTTATAATCAATATTACTTATATTTTAAGAAATATGTTGCTTAAGAAGCTTTTATCAAATATAATTTTGTACAATTAAGAGAAAATTTGTTAGTTATTAGAACTGCAAAAGGAATGATAACATGTGTTAAAAATCATTAAATGTATAAGTGTAAGTAGTTGAACTAAAATAACACTCATGTTTAAGATATCTCCCGTAAAAAAAATATTGAGTTGTTGTTTAGTGTATTAAATATTATATTTGATTATCTTAAATTATCATATCATTTATAAGAAATTAATATAATATTTTGTTTCAATAATATAAAGCTTAAAAAAAAACCTCACGTTTGAAAACAATTATAAAGAAACGAAAAAAAGAACCCACAATGTCACGGATATCTATTGTAATGATAAATTTCTTGAAAACATAAATTGCTTGAATAGAATAGAAAATAAATGACAAATTAGAGATGCTCTTAATTTCTTATTTTATCATACATAAGAACATTGGAGACTTTTCTACATTACCGGTTTAAAAAAAAATCAATTTTACATAATAGAGTCAAAATTGAAAAAAATTATAGAAATAGGGTAAAAGTTAGAATTGTGTAGCTCGATGTTAGTTGTAATTTTTTTTAAATCGTACTAGATATCACAAGTTTAAATTTATTATTAATATTATTATTATTATTAAAATTGTGCTATCTTACATAGTTTATTTATTTTAAATAAGATTATTTGATTTTTTTTAATATATTATTTATAAAAATAAAAAAAAATCTATTTTTTTTTAAGAAACTTAACACTAGCTTCTATAAGAAATATTTCTTGTTTAGAAGGACAAGAGAAAGAGAATTGAAAACAAATAAATTTAAGGTACAAATTAATTAAACAAGTTTTACACACTAAACTTAATTTCATTATATATATATATATATATATATATATATATATATAATGATTTTATATGTTCAATATTTTAAAATAGTGGGACTAATTTGATATTTAACAAGTAATAATCAATCACATAATTTCAAAAGAATTTAAATCTCACGTTATTTTTTCCTACATATATTCAATAGTTGCACAATTAAGAATAGAAGTTTTGATCTTTGACTTATGTGATCCAAAATTATACTTGTAGTCCTCTTTTAACTTATCCAAGCATTGATCTTTACTCTTTTTTTTTTAATATTTCACTTCATCCAAATCCCACCTTACTTTGAAAGAAATGTTTCTAAGGATTTTTAGTTTATCCAAATATTAATTTTTACTATTTTCTTTAATGTTTCCACATTATTTTAGGAGAGATATTTTAAAAGATTTATATAATAAGCATGACTTAAACAAAAATTACAACTAGAATTGTAGCAAGCTAGATTTTTCACTTTGGCGAACAACTCACGAGTAGGCATGGCAACGGGAGATTCTCGTTCCCGATTTTTTTAACCATCATCGTCCCCTATTTTGATCTCCGCAGGAGTTAGAAATTAAGTCTTCATCCTCGTCTCCACTTGGGTTTCGGGTTCCTCACCCTCGTCCAGTCCCGATCTATATTATTTTTAAAATGATAATTACATTTATAATAAATTAATTTTACTATCTATTTTTATATTTAAATAAATATTTATAATTATAATTTATAATTATTATTAATTAAATATACATTTTAATTTATTATATTTATATTAAAATATGTATGTAAAAAAAATTTAATCAATTTTTTTATAACATCATTATTATTATTATTATTATTATTATTATTATTATAATACTGTATTCAAATATTTAAATATTTATAACATTATTACTATAAAATTGTATTTAAACATTTGATTATGTATATATATATATATATATATATATATATATATATATATATATAAAAGTTAATTCATTTTTAAGTTGTCATTTAAAAATATGAAATATATAGTTTATAAGAAAATATTTAATAATTTAATTCTTATTTAATTAGTTCGAAGTAATAAAAGTTTAAATTATCAATTTTTTTAATCCTTTAATTACAATTATTTTATTAAGATAAAATTTGATATATGATAAATAAGAATAATAAGATAAAAAAATATGATAGAATAAAACCTAATAAATATAAATTATAAATAAAATAATATTAGTTACAACTAAGATTTATGTAAAATATTTAAGTTACAACTAAGATTTATGTAAAATATTTAAAAAAAGATAAAGAAGAAAAAATTAACTTTATGTTCATCAAATTGGTTAAAAAGATTGAAATAAATAAATAAATTGATGGAAGAGATTAAAGAAATGTGAAAAACTCAAAGGTAAAAAAGAGAATAATATAATAAATTAATTGATATAAAAGATTAAAAAAGACAAAAAAATTAAAAAGTGGGTAGAAGAAAAATAAAAATTTGTGAAATATAAAAAGATAACTTTATATGTAATAGAAAAAGAAAATACTTTTAAAATATTAATATTTTAAAATTTAAATTTAAATATAAAGTCGAAGCGGGAGCGAGATGGAGATTGCATTACGCATCCCTACCCTGCTCGACTTTTTAAAGTAGGGAAAACCCGAACCCACCCCCGATCAACTCGGATTTTTCCCGTTAAACTCGGAACAGGGACGGTCGGTCCCACAAATACGAATTTAATTGTCATCCCGAGAATAACAATTTAACCCATTTTTGTAATTTTTCTCAAATTCAACCATAAAATTAATTTTTTTTACCCAAGTAAAAAAGCCAAATAACATTGGATGAGTCATGTACGTTCACTTTGACCAACGAACTCGTGCTTAGCACGAATTTACCCATTTTTGTAATTTTTCTCAAATTCGACCGTAAAATTGAAATTTTTTTTAACTGAGGTAAAAAAGCCGTTGGATGAGTCATATACGTACATATTAACTCTAGTGGCAGATCTGACAATATTCTTGAAACCAAATCCCGGTTTCTATGGATAAAAAAAAAACCAGCATATAAGCAATACTTTAATATTCCGTCAGAAAGATTCAATTAGAGGCCAATTTTTTTCAAATTGAAATCAGCCCTTAACATTTTGACAGAAGAAATAAATATGAAAAACAAACCTTAAAAAAATTAAAAGAAAGACACTTGCAGTTGCGGGCAGGGTGTTATAAACTGGTTGAAGCTGTAACACATTTAAAATTATGGATTCGGTATATTTAGGCTATCTAAAGCCGAGGAAAGTTCTGTTTATGTGATAAACCTACATGTGACACGTTCAATGAAGCAGGATGAAAGAACTCCAGTCAAAGGTCAAAAGAAAAAAAGAATCTCTATTAAGAACGCATGGTATCCCCATCCTCATAATATTAACAATGGTTTGCCTTCCTTACACAGCCTGTATCTCCAAATCAGTATGGTCGTTGTTGCTTGGTGAAGAAGACATTTCAGCAGTTTCCTTCTCATCGGTAGGTTTCATCTCTTGAACGGGAGGAGGGTTTACAACTGTCATTTCTGAAAAAATGTTGTCTGAGAGCCTTCCATTCAGCTCCCTGTGTTCTTGACACAAGGCACACCAGTGCAAGCAGCAGTGCACACAACATGCATTACATGGTGAATTCTGAAATCATGAAAAAAAAAATGAATAAGCATGCCTTTGAAACAAAATTCATGTATAATTAAAAATCAAAGGAAAGAATTTCACGAAATTATGTATGTGCTAAGTATCGAGCTTCTAAGAAACACAACAGATGCTACATGGACTGAATTTGACCATCTGAAATCTTCCACGGCGCCAATCACAGCCATTATGCTGTTGATCTTGGGGTGCTTGCCTGATGTCGGGGTTCTTACCCCACGTTAGTATAGATGGCCCTGTTCTCATAACTGACGTAAAATGTCTAATTGTCCTTAATGACAAAGGCCATATATAAAAACAGGAAGAGCAGTTCTAACAGTTACACCAGATAAAGGGAAGAGATGGCATGCAACACAATAACGCTCCCCCTCTGCCCGGTCTGGTACAACACTACAAGTTTCTGGGGATGTATGTCAGGGTTAGTTGCTTATATTAGAGACAGCTGGTTTACCTTTGTTCCCTTCCAATGGTGTATTTTAAATATGCATCTACTAATTGTTCAAAAAGAATTTAATAGCAGGTTTTATAACAGAATATCAGTATAGGGATATCTGATATATATATATATGAAATTAACTCGACCATTTGTCCTATCAAAAAATTATTTTCAAACATATGTACCTTCAAGTGATATTTCTTCTGCAGGGTTTGCCGCACTAGACCAGTGTGAATGCCACACATCCACCATGTAAAAAATAAACCCTCAACAATGAGACATACAGTCCCTGGGTTAATACCCGGAAAGATGGAAGTTGCAGCTGCAGTTGCTATTGCCAGAGAAATTCCACCTTCAACACAAATGGCATGACAAATGCACGGCCCAGTCCAAGGAGTGTCTTCCCTCAATCTTTCTACATTGCGCCCAAATAATACACAAGGACAAAACAGTCCAGTCAAGCCTGCAATGAAGACCAGAAGCATGTAAAAGGTAGCAGCTCTCCAGTATAGTATGTCAAATGTCACAGCAACATGCAAACTCCAAGCAGCCATACATATAAATCCTTCACACTGAAGTTTAAAGCATACCGCGACCATACATATATTAAAGATACTTTGATAGAAAGATATCAACTTGGTCAAAGGAAGTCTATAAAATTTTATGTGATACTGATGCTCACTCTTTACTTTAGCATCTGGCAAGACAACTATTTAGTAAGTATTAAATGGATTCAGGGATCTGCATTCTAGCCGTATATAGCCAAGTTTAACTCACATCAAGTGGAAACATGTACATCCGCAAAAAAAATTACAATTGGAGGCTATTAATACAATGACCACTCCCAAGTCTCAGTTGACTAATATAATCATGGCCGCTATCCTAATACTGGTACAATTTGAGAGCTTGGTCATGCATTAACTTACAGCTTTCTCTGTCTTCCGCACATCCAAAGATCCCAGTCATCCAAGGTTCATCTGCAGGAGGTGCATAACTTTCAGGTAGCGGCTGTCTACATTCAGGGCACTTGCGAACATCCAGCTGAAAAGTATCAAAAACCATGAGCAAATATGATGTCACTCAAAATCCCAGAGGAAAACAGACACATAGCATTTTCATATGAATCTGACTCACAGATCCATAACTGTTGAGTGAACTTTTAAATTTAGAAAAGAAATAGTTAAATTATGTCTATTATTAGGCACAAATTTCCTCCTTTTCCACTTTCACATAAGTCACAGAACCACCACATGGGCTGTGCAATGGGGAAGGGTGGAGGTGGGTTTCGCTTTCCCTATCCCTGCTCTTGGCTCCTCCGACCCCATCCCTACCACCCCCACGTACTATTTTTTTTTTAAAACCATTTATATATACATTTCTTTCCCTTAATGTATACATTTCCCCGTATTTAGTGCTAATGTTTTTCGTCCAAGAGCTATCAAATGGTCCTAGTATTATATATTCATTTGCCTAAATTGAATAATATTGTTATTCCTTATTCACAAAATCTACAATCTGTAAGAGGTTATCAAATGGTTTAAAGTAAGAATGTGAAGTATTACACTATTTTAAACCGATCCAATCCCTCTCTCTACACACGTATACAATTCAATTTGGATTTTTAACAGCGGAATAGAATCAGTGAACAACCCTTCAACAAGGTTACCCTCGAATTTTTACACATAGATTTGGGAAATGAAAGGATTAATGAGAAGAAACGCGTTACCTGAGGAACCTGAATCGGCTGATTAAGTTCGCCAGGGGTAATATCTTCCAGAGGTGTCTGATCTTTGGTCAACTTCACATAACGCGATTGCTTCCGTTCTTCCATCACACCAATTCCACGATTATAAACGCCAAAACTATGTCGTTTAGCCACCGAGAAAGTAGAGCGAGAAAACAGACAAGATCTAAAGAAGTTGTAGATCTCGTCTCGTCTCGGACTTGGAGGAAGAAAAGAAAGAAAACAGCGATGAAACGCTGCTTACTCTAGTCAACCGACCTATGCCATGCCTCTCTTTTATCGCCGGTAATTGAGGTAACTTTTTTCTTTTTTCAAAAATTAAAAACACATTTTGATTATTACTTTTTGGAAGATTTAAAGCACAACAAGCCATTTTTATTTATTTATTATAATTATATTTAAAAAAAGACTTTTTTTTACAATAAAAGATTTTAAATATATAGATTCTGATTTTAATTAGATTTTTTAATTTCGAAGTATTTTGAGAAATTAAAACAAACGTATGGAAATTTATTTAAAATTATTATATTTTTATGAATAAAATTACCAACCAAAAGAACCCTAAATTAGGTTTTTGGTTTTTGTTGTACAGGTGGGTTTAATATGACGTAAGTTTGAAAAATACGTCTTTGTACATATATACTAGTTAATTCCTTAAATACAAAAAATATTTATGATATTGTCAATTTTGACTTAAATAATTTTTTTGTCGTAATTTTATATTACAAAAACTCTGTGTTTTAACACTATATAAATAATTTTAAATAAAACAATTAACTTGGTCATTTCATTTGTTATTATACAAATTAATCAGAACCATTAATACATCACATTAAAAACGATAAAATTATGGATATATAATAATCGACTATGCAACAGTTTCTCCTTAATTATTTGACAATTTGACACATAAATGTAAGACCTTTTTCAACCTGAAAAAACCAAACTTGGACTAGCTTGGGTTTGATGGCTCAGTGGAGCGGGTGTTAATGCACTACTTAGTATTTCACAATAAAAGAAAAGAGCAAGATTCTCATGTTAATTTTTCTAAATTATGATTTTTACTTCGTATAATCTGTCAAATTACTCGAGTTACCCCACCCAGGTTGCCATTAGCAAGTGCGACATGCAGAGTGCATAGTGAGTAACCTGATAAATATACTGTGCCTTGCCTTGTGATTCTAGCTACATAGAAACACCAACACAATGATAAGAAAAAACCATGTGAGATCTAGATTTTAATCGAGACACCATTATCATAGTATATTTATTTAGCATCGATTAGACGTAAAAAATTACAGCATGGTATTGGAATCAGCTAACATATCTTTAAGAGGGCCAGTTTCTATACCAACCGGCCCAAGCAGAAACCAAGCCACTAATGCCAAGAGTAACAGTGTGGTTGCAGAAGGGGTTTGGTTCAATCTCTGCTATTGCTATGAACAAATCAGCAACATTAGCAGCCACAGCCATCAACCTCATTGTTCTATCAATTCTTATCTTCTCAATCTTTTTCTCTTCTTCCACTGATTTCTCCTTGCTTCTTCTCAGCTTTCTCTCTTCCTTCAGCCCTTCTTTCAGCATAATGAAATCAGCTATGATGAAGAAAACATACCCCACAGACTCACCAAAAGCTGATATGAAGCTCATCCTCTTAGCCAAGTTTGCATCTATGGTCCCGATTCTCGCCAACCAAAGAAAGTGGTCGAAGAAGAAATACACCATCTCTCCTGCATTACCAAGCACCGCTAGAAACCTCAGGGAAAGAGTGGAACCAGGGTTTCTGCGGAGGGCGTTGAAGCCAGTGAGAAACCTTCCAGTTCTGAAGGCTTTTCTGCTAAGTCCTGAGGCCACTTCCCATTGCTTGAACCTCTTGGATATGTCAGGGTTTGTGGCTTCCACATGCCAGTTCACAAGCTTGGACACGTACTGGAAGGTTTTCACAAGCTTGTCAATGCCATCTCTCTTCGCTAGGAAGATGACCAGTTTGTCCGCTGAGTCATTCATGGTGGGGATGTGGTTCTGGTCATGAACCAGAGGGTGTGAAGTTTTTGTTTGGTCGTGCCAGACAATGTTAACTTTGAGTCACAGATGAAGCTGGTTTTTGGATAAGAGAAGCTTGTGGTTGCACTTTGTTTTACTCGGTGCCACCATTCATTTTTTTTGTCATTGGAATTTTGTGAGCATTTATTAAGACACTTTGTTTTCTTCTTATTCTTCTGCTTATGGCTAGGTGTACACACAACTATTGTCCTCAGTTGATCTCATCTTTCAAGAAAATATTATTCTTTTATTTTTAGTTTGTTATCAAATATATAATATTACAGATTTTGTGGTTTATACATGTATTTAAACGCAAGGTTTTATCTATTGGAATCTATATCTATTAATGTTCATATGCCTACATATTATTACAAATTTATGTTCACATTTTAGTTAAATATGTTTTTTTTTCTTTCTCATAAACTAGTAAATGAATATATTCTTAAAATAATTAAAAATTTATATGAAAAATTAAGAAAAAAATTCAGCTAATTTAAAATAGAAAAAGCATATTAAATCTTAATTGTAAAAATAATAAATATGTACGCTACACATTAATATTAGAGTACATAAAGTCTGGAGCAAACTTGACTATGTAGATTATCTAAAATAAGAAAATACGCACATTTAAATATTTAGAAAATTAAATGTATTAGAAAAAAATAATCATATTTTATCTAATTGTATTTGAATGAGTCATGTTTTATTTGGAAAATTTTGATTTAATATGTACATCCAAAAATATATCATTCAATCTTTATTTAATATAATACTTAATCGTACATAATCTTTCTATTAAATAAAATATGAATTTTCTGAAATTATTTTACTTTTTTTAAGTGAAGAAACATAGGATAAAAAATTCAATAATAAAAATATGATAACAATAAATATATATTTAATAAAACGTAAAACCAATTATAATCATAATAGTTTATTTTATAATCAATACTTTATCTTTTACATGTATGTCCGAACTCAATTTAAATAAATTAACACCCTTAAACTACGATTTAGATTTAAAACAAACTAATTTTAGGATGGAACTATAATCAATTAATTATAAAAAGAAATAGTATAGGTTTACTTTATTTATCTAATTATTAACCTTTTTTTATTGATTTTTATATTTTCGAAAGTTAATTAAATTTTAATGAGATTCATTTAAATAAAAAAAAAGTCCTTTCAATTTTTTAAAATTAATCTATAGATTTATTAAAATTTGAATTGCAAAGTCTCTGCTATGATTTTTTAAAATATATATAAATATATTCTTACTTAATATTTTAAATCTATAAAACTGCTTTTATAATAAAAAATATTTTTTAATGTCAATGTAATGCATCTATCTAATTTAAAAATATTACCTGATAAAAAAATACATATCTCTAAAATCATAATTAAATTTATTTAATAAAAGGTTTTTTCTAATAATGAAAACAAGCAAAAAATATTATAGTGCATTTGATTTAATTATTTAAAAATGACAATTATGAACTTTTGTTAATTTAATAGAATATATTCTTAAAAAAATAAGTGGTTATTTGCATATATTTAAAATCTAGCAAGCACGAATCTAAACAATTAAGGTTTACTAAATTTTATTTTGGTTGATACAAGTGAATATGTGTATTTTAATTATTAAAAAAAACATACAAATAAATTTTGAACTTCAAGTTATATCATTAAGTTATCATCTATAAATATTTTTTATTATTAGTCACAAAAGTCACTATTATTTATGTAATATTTATCATTATTAAAAAATTTAAGAAATATTTACAAAATAAAAAAAAATGTGAAAAGAAAAATATAGAGGAAAGTGGCAACTGTCCATTTAACTAGTGTTCACGGCACCCACAAACCCTACCCTATAAACCAAATTCGCAATCCTTTTTTCTCAACACTTCCATTCCCGTTCCAATTTTGAGAACAATTTTTGGAATTAGGGCTACCTCTTTCCATCAATTCATCATGGACGCTCAGAGAGCTTTGCTCGACGAACTCATGGGTGCAGGTACGTCTATGTTATTTGCATTCTCAATTAACGAATTCCAATACTCTCTAATTGATTAATTTGTTCTGTTTTGTTGTTACTGTGGTGAATTTCTTAGCGCGAAATTTGACGGAGGAAGAGAGAAAGGGGTATAAGGAAGTTACTTGGGACGACAAGGAAGTGTGTGGATTCTACATGGTGCGTTTTTGCCCTCACGATCTCTTCGTCAACACGCGCAGTGATCTCGGTGCGTTTTAATCAATTCTATCATGTATAATTCAATCTCAATTATCTGTCGTGCCATGATGTCAATTCAACTACACTGTTACTTCGTCTATTCGATTGTTGTGATTGCTTCGTTTTAGAGTGTTTTTTTTTTGTGAGCATAGACTGAGGATGTTGATGAATTCATGACTGAAGTAATATGTCTGTTGAATTGAATTCCCCCGGCAACTTAATAGGGATCTTCTTATTGTGATGGCTGCAGCTGGATTTCATTATTCGTCCTTTTGCTTAATGTGCTGTTAATTTTGATGCAGGACCTTGCCCGAGAATTCACGACCCAAAATTGAAAGAAAGGTGAACAAGTAATTTTATTTATTTTTTATATATAATTTGGCATTTGTAAATGAGCTGTATAAGATATTTGGGAATAAAGCAGTGTGAAAACTATTACAGTTTTTATTGTTAGATGTGCCTGTATGGAGTTGTAATTTTGTATTTTTTTAGGCAGTGGTTTCTGACGCTGTTTTATTACGAAAATTTTGCTACTGTTAATGCTCTATTGATGTGTTGAAGTTGGTTTAATGGCGTGCTGCTTGTAAAATTCACTTAAAAAGTGGATCTCTTCTGTTTCAGTTTATATTATCATATTCAATATACGTTTTACGATTCCTGCTTCAATTGGTGTTATGGTCGTGTAGTTCAACATGGACCTAACTGATGCTACTTCTGTTCAAGTTTACTTTACTATCCTTTGCCGATTCTACTTGTCATATGTATACATTTGATAATCAGATGCTGATAAATGAAAGCACAAGTCTCAGTACATTGTTTTAGGTTATTCCATAATATATTGTTGAGATTCAGATTCAATGAGCTTTACTGTATTGGTGGCTTCAGTTTTGAGAAATCTCCAAGACATGACGCATATGTACCCAAATTTGAAGCTGAACTTGCTCAATTCTGTGAGAAACTGGTAGGTTACCTACCTGTTGTCCTTCCCTCCCAAAACTCAGAAATTTACTCTTGTTTGTATCTTAATGAACCATTCTTCATATATTTCTATATTAACCGCAGGTGATGGACTTAGATAGAAGGGTTAGACGTGGACGAGAACGCCTTGCTCAAGAGGTGGAGCCAGCACCACCACCACCCCTGACAGCTGAAAAATCTGAGCAGTTATCTGTTGTGGAGGAGAAAATAAAGAACCTTCTTGAACAAGTTGAATCTCTTGGCGAAGCTGGGAAAGTTGATGAAGCTGAAGCTCTTATGAGAAAGGTGCTGAACATTATGCAAATACCTCTTTTCCCTTGTATATAAATTGAACTTGTAATGATTTACTACTAGCATATCTAAAGCACCTTTTGGGGGCTCGGGTGGGACTTTCACATACAGGTGGAGACACTTAATGCTGAGAAGACAGCTTTAACACAACCTCAAAATGATAAGGTGTTGATGCTTGGTCAGGAAAAGAAGATGGCGCTCTGTGAAATTTGTGGTTCTTTTCTTGTGGCAAATGATGCTGCAGAAAGGACACAGTCACATGTCACAGGAAAGCAACATGTTGGTTATGGCATGGTTCGTGACTTCATAACTGAGTATAAGGTGAGTTTTGTTGTCTTGAACTAATTTGCACATTAAAAACAAGTATTAAATATTTCTTGATATAAGTTGGTATCCTTTTCAGGCTGCTAAGGAGAAAGCTAATGATGAGGAAAAATTAGCTCGAGAAAGAGAGGCTGAAGAGCGGAGGAAACAGAGGGAGAAGGAGTCCGAGAGGAGGAGACGAAGTGATTCAAGTGATAGGGATAGGCACCGTGATAAAGATCACAGTAGGGAGCGGGATAGGTATAGAGATAGAGACTCAGAGCGTGAAAGGTCTCGGGAACATGATGTTAGAGGTTATCGAGATGGGGGGAGAGGGGTGGATTATAGGCTGAGGAATGGAAGAAATGGAGGTAGAGACAGGTACCGTGATAGGAGCAGATCACGTTCCCCTGTTAAGCATAGCTACAGAAGGTCTTCTTGAAGTCCAGTTTGCTCAAATTAGAGGAATTTCGTGATAGATGTCAGAATTTGAATTTAAAAGAGGTAGTCTTTAATATCCCAAGATTTGCTTGAATATGTGCTTCTGGAGTCTTAAATTTTTTTTGTCATCATCAAGGGTGAATTTACACTTTTCCCATCTCAGAGCTTTGTTGAGACTATACAATCTCCCTTTCATCAATGTTATTAATGGAGAAAAGGGTTGAGGTAGGTATTTTACTGTTGTAACTTCTCTTACAATTTGTTTTGCACCTTGATTTAAGTTTTTTATGACGATTCATCTCTGAAGCATTGTGTGTAGTCTTTCTTTTCTCGCATTTCTGGAAATCAATTGATTGATTTAAGATGTCAGACACAAAATTACATGAATGAATTGCTGCCGAGGGGGATGATTTTCTCTTGTGTTGAGGTAACTTGTGAACCTTATACCCTGCGACAAATATATTGATATTTGTTCAGCATAAAAATGTTTGTTTTCTTTCCCCCGTTTCTTTGTTGTTTCATTACCGTTGTTTCTTAAGTTGATATAAACCAACACAGGTTTAAAAAATGCTGCTTATTCTGACATGAAATTTGACATTGAACTACATTCCGAAGGCACCAGTATAGAAGATATAGGTAACCTTACTGAATCTGTTGTTAGTTATCTCCCAAATCCATGGTATCATATCATATTTATAATATATTTGGTGTGTGATATCATCCGATATGATCATATGCTGAATGGAGAATTAAATTTTTTTCCCTGGTTTCCTGATGTCATTATTTATATGGGGTTCCGATGGGGAAAAGATTAGTTCATGTAGCCCAGCACAAGTAAACAATTATTTTACTCAATTGGGAACTGGTTTTGGAATGGTACAAATGATCAATCATCCTCTGTAAAAATAACGATTTACAGAGTTTAAGAACTGGCAAATACAGGGATTTGGTTGTCTTTGCTGGATGATTCGATAACAGAAATATTGACATTCGCATGAAAAACTTTCAATGATCTGGGATGCAGAATGTCTCCTCCATGAACAAACGTCCTTCCGTTATTGTCGGGTGATTGGAGGTAATTTTCTCTCATATCTGGATAAGACCGTTTAATTTGGTGTTCAGGAACACAAGTGTCTGTGTGATCTTTGATAGTAGCTATATACGTGCAGGAAAACAAGCCTCGCCTCTTTCTATAAGAAACGAGGCAAAATGAAAATTAAGTATTTTTTTTTTCTTTTATCAGTAGCTTATTATTTTTAGATGTGGAGAAAGTGATCTGCTTTTTATTATTCAAAATAGTAGTTCAATCCTTGATGAACCTAGGACTTGAGTCATACACTTTGAACTCGCCATCTTAAAGATTGTAAAGATTCAAGGAAATAAAATGAGCGATTTTTGGAGCAATGACCCCAGCCTTCATGTTTCTTGTTATTCTCAAGCCTCTTCCTCTCGTATCTGAACTTTTTATTTTTTAAATAAATTTGAGTCATGGAATGATTTAACAGAACACAAATCGAAATTGTATTGCTACAAATATGGGGAATATAGGCTGGTTGAGTTGATGCCTTCGCTAATACATTTATAGTGATCATCCATTACGATTTTCGAATGTTATACAAAGGTAACAGGGTTGATTGAATCACCGATTTTGTCCTTAGCGAATAAAGGACGAAATTATTTGTGTAGTTTTTGAAGTCTGGAATATCTAGTTATTTCCCCCATGATGGTACGTGGTTTAGCGAAGTTCAAAAATCAATTTAAAGGATATTTAAATATTTGTAGGATTGTTGAACTCGACTTTAATATTGAAAGGCTTTAAGTAGGGTTTTGTCAAGAATAACTTAAGGTAGTAAGTAATATTTTGGAGCTAAAATTATTAGTTTACGGAATATTTATTTTTTAAAATATCTTGAAGACGAAATAATTTGCATAATGTTGGTGAACGTTGAAAAAATTGCCATTTTCTTTCATAGAAACATCATCGTGGTTGTTTGGTGTTAAATAAAATTTTAAACTTGTGATAAATTATTATTAGTTTTGGTAAATTAATTGTGCTTTTTTATATTAATAAAGAATTAGAGGGAGAAATTCATCCGATGTTTTAAACAAGGGGACTTTAATTGAATTGGAGTAAAATTAGAAAAATTAAGATAAAATCGGAAAAATTTTAAAAATTAATTAGGTTTTTGGATTGAAATGGTTTTAATAAAAAAAATATTTAAGATTATTTTTTTAATATAAATTTTCTTATAAAATATATAATATATTTTAATTTTGTTTTTATTTTAATTATGTCTATTTTAAATAATAATTATTTGATTGAATTTATATTTTATTTTAATAAATTTTTTATTTTTTAATATTTGATATTTATAAATTTTATTGTAATTTACAGTAATTTTTTTTATAAAAATACTATTATTAATAAATTTATTATATTATAAAAATATTATTTATTAAATCTGATTAGAATTTATTAAATTTCAATTAAATTTTTAAATCTTTACCGGTTAGTGTTCATTCGATTTTAAAAACATCAAAACTGGATTCACATTTTAATGATATTTTTAAGTATATTTTTCTTTAATTTCTGTTTTTATTCATATGAATATTGAATTATGAATTAATTGGGTTTATACTTGGAAACTGTTTCAACCACCTCTTGTTCCCCAAAGCTTATTCTTGGGTCATCTATAACAAAACTAAAGACTCTCAAATTTGTTAGGTTGAATTGAACTTTTATTATTTTACTATGATTACTCCACAATTTTGACCCTTCATAACTTTTTACTAATTAAAAGTGAAGTGAGTAGCGTGGTTTTAATTGTTACAGGCCACATCTTTCATCACCTTCCTTCTATATAATATTCTTCAATTTTTATTTTGTAGTTGAATGAGATCTTGAAAGTTAATATGGATTATATTATATCAGATTGAATGAATAATTGATTTTAATTAAATTGAGATAAAATTGATTGAATTTTTGAATCGATTCGGTTTTGTAAAAAATATAGGATCAAATTTTTTTATAAAAAATATAATATATTTTAATTTTTTTATTTCTTTAAATAATTATTATATTATTATATTTTTATTTTATTTTAATAATTTTATATTTTTTATTTTTAATATATTTATATTTATAACTTTAATCATAACTTCAAATAATTATTAGAGTAATATTTATTATTTTTTTTATAAAAACATTATTATTAATAAATTTATTATATATTTATTATATTATAAAAATAATATTTTATTAAATTTAATTAAACTCGATTCAAGTCCAGTTTCAAGAATAATTGATTATAATTTATACTAATTTACCACGTCATTTCTGCTAATAACAGCTAGTAACGTTTTTAAAATACAGTCTCAATTTTTTTTATTAAAAAAAGGTAAGACTTCATTATATATTCTCTGTTCTACATAACATGGAATTTTACAATAATGATCAGCTTTCCAATATTTTTATATTATGCTATTTTTTAATCATTATTTCATGTGCCATTTATTTTATTATTCGATAGTAGAATTCATTATTTATTGATAACTAATAGTTTATTTTATATTATATTATATTATTTTTTTAACCATTATATTTATTTAACATAATGAAAGTATGGTCTTTTCTCTAAATTAATGTACTTATATTTTATTTTTAAATATTACTTGACATAATCCCAAACGAATAGTAGAATAAACAATAGCAAAAGATTTATAATAATAAAAAGTTAAATATATAATTATAACGAGTGATATGTGAATAAAAAAATTATAAAAGAAAATGAAAATTAATTGAAATTATAAATACTAAAAATTATATTTTATCGATATATTGAATTAAATTATATTAAATATTATATTAACATCTTTATTTTTGATATTATATATTTATTAATAACTATATCAGATAATTTAAACAAACGTTTATATTTTAATAAATCAGTTTCGAAGTTATTAGCTACCAATTCTTATCTTTCCCTTAGTTTTTTATTTTTATATTTTTTACTTAGCTTTCTCAGCTGTTTTTTTAACAAATATTATAGAAAGTGAAGTTGACACGGACTTAGAATATAAATAGTTTATACTCAAAATCTTGAAATTTAAATCACATTATAGAAAGTGAATTTGGGGTTCCAGATGGGAAAAATATTTAATTTTTCTACTTCTGCACGAATAAGACGTTCGAATAATAAACTTCGAACTAAGAGAGTAAAGAATGAGGAAATATATGAATATTTCAAATAAAAAAATATGAGCTTTCAGGTTTTTTGTTATAAAAACATGATAGAAAATCTACATTGCAACAATTGTAATAAGATATTAAATTTAAGAAAACCTTGTTAAAAGAAATTTACTTGTCCTAATAGGAAATCACTTTTTTTATCCTTAAATATGTTAATACTACATTGTGCTGTAAAAAAAAAAATCTATGTAATATTCTTGAAAAATATTTTTTACTGAACTTTATAACATTTAATGTACAAATAGTCAAACATCTTTTAATACGTCTTTAATGTTCTCTCTATTTTGTATACATATATGAAAATAATTAAGCAACAAAAATAACTTTCAATAATAGTTCCACATAGTATCAATTATTTAATATTTAATTAATGAAAGTGAAACAAAAAAAAACATAAATTTTTCACATAATGTTATGACTTGAAAATGTCACATGATAAGATTCGTTATCCTTTCAGCCGCAAAATCTACTCCAGACAATGTGTGTATGTCCTTCTCAGTTTCTATTTGAATATTATTTATATTTTTAAAATGGATTAAATACAGTTTTTATACTAATAAATTATTCAATTTCATATTTTGTCTTTCACCAACTTTTCAACTCTATTTGTTCCTAAGAAAAATAATTTGTTGCATTTAGTCTCTTCTGTTAAATTATGTTATTTTAACTATGTGATTGTTAACTCTTCACTCATTATTCACGTAGTAGTTGTGCACGTGTTTTCTTTTTTCGTTTAAGTAACATTTCGGTCCTTAATAAATTTAATAATTTAATATTTGGTCTCCCATAACAAAATTTCTATCTAATTGACCACCCAAAAAAATCATATTTAGTTCTCACTTTTAATTTTCAATATCTTAGTGTTCATAAGGGTTAAGTTGTTTTTTTTTTTCGTAAATTTATCATTGTTATATATAGATATGATATTTTTTTATCTTCAGTAAAAAACGGAGAAAACATTTATAGGAAATAGTAACCTTTAAAAAAAAACATCTTTAGAAAAAAAATCAATTATATCCTAGACACAAAAAATAATGTTAAATTAAATTTGAACGCAATTTTTAACATTCATAGTTAAATATTTAATAAGATATTCATTATCAAAACCATGTTGTGTTTGATGCTTTGAAATAGGATCCTTAAAATAAAAAGAGAACTTAAAAAAAAAAGTTTGAATAAAATTCCAAAACTTTTGGCAACTACATTTATTTCTATGAATTTACAAGTGTTTTCCGTTCTTTGTATTGATATTTTTATTTTTATTACCTTGCCAACATTTTTTTATGATCCAGATTTAATAAACTCTCAAATCAACACTAAAATAACAAAATACAAAAAAAACATCACGCACCAGTAAAAAAAAAGTAAAGATTTAGAGCGTAAAACAAAATAATAAAAGTTATTTAAGTAATAAAAAAAATTAACAGATACATTGATATGTTAACCAACACGTCAACACTAAAATAATATAACCATATCAGAGGGATCAAATGTGAGAAGAAAATAAATTAGAAAATTTATATAAAGGCAAACGTAAAAATTTGAAAATTTATTAGGGACGAAAAATGTATTTAAACCTTTTAAAATTAAAATAAATCAGATAAACTTATTTCAATATAACTAGAGATATGCACATAAATACAGAAAGGATGTTAGAGACATGGAAGATTGGCTTCAATCCAAACATTGAATTGAAGAAACAAACAGTCATAGACTAATCTTGCTTTCCTTTTGTAACTAGTTAGAAATTCAATACGGGAGTATTTATATTCACCTACACCACGAATAACGGAAAGTAAGCATTGCCGATGTAAAAGAATCTCCTCTGCAAGCCAAAAACATATCTGAAAAGAGTGGGTGGGATGGGCTCCATTGTTTGAAATTAGTAAGGAAAATTCATGAGTCCAAATTGACTCGCCGCATCTTACAAACAAGGTTTGCAGTTGGCATATCAAGTTGGTTTCCTGAATCTGTCTTTAAAAGATCTTTTAGCTGGTTTCTTGGAGAAGAAAGACAACTTTGGAATGTAGCCAGAACTGGTGGAATTGGCATTGATAGAGCAGAAAGCACGTTACTAAGATACTCAATATCAACTGATAGCTGCTGTGCTCCACGATCTGAAATGTATTGAATCCCACGCAACTGCTCGATGTAAAGTGCAGTTGCACCCTCTGCAACCTAAAATTTAGCAACCAACAGAAAAAAGATCGTGTCATTTGTCATTTATGTGCATACATAAAAGAGATTCATGGTCCAATAAGGGTATCAGGGTCAGAATCATTTTGAATAATTCTTATTTAATGCACACGCGTAAGCCTATATATATGATTTCATCCATCTACTTCTGTTAGGAAACTAGTCCTGTCTCCTTTCGCTTAGGGATAATTATTTTGTCATGCCAAAAGGAAATTTTTCATTTCTTAGCTAAGCGGGTATCATGCTGGCAATCTCAACATTGAGAAGTGACACGTATTTCAAGGCAAAAGAACAAGTTGATGCCAGCTAAAGAATATTCATTCAGATCAAATTTCAAGAAAAGACTACATTTGATTCAAATTATTGGGAGATTCTTTGTAAAGAAGCTGTTATTTGTTTGGATGCAGGTACACACTTTTCATTTTAAAAGGTAGTTATATGTTTAGTTTTGTTTTTTTAAAGCTACTCAGTAGCTTCTAAAAAATAATCAGAAATCTGATTCTTATTTAAAAAAAAAAAACTACTCAAAAACACACATACAAATTTTAATTATGTTTTTAAAAACGAAAATTATTATTTTGGTTGGTGAAAAAAGCTTAAACAAACAGACTGACTAAAGGGATTTTTTTTTTGTAACTTTCATCTTCCTTTATATTATGCGTTTACCTTGAACATCCATTCAGTTGCAAAGAACTGCGCTTCATCATTGACTTCATTGCTAGAGATTCCCTCAGCAAGTGGCTCCAATTGTTGGGGTAAAGTAAGAAGATATTCACCAACACTGGTAACATAGGGCTGTGGATATGCACTGAAGGTAGGAAGAGGAAAGCCTACTTGTTCCTCAACTGATGACCAAATTGGCATACGGGACACATCACTCAGGCGTTGCCGCACTTTAGATATGAGGACATCATATACAAGTTCGTTAACAGTGTCAGCAAATGCTGCAACTCTTTGAGATGCAAGGGGAAGTGCGTGAAACCGGGGATCTTTAGACTGCAAAACAGTAAGATATTTACTTAAAACAAGAGAATAGAGAGAAAGAAAAGTGTCCGAAGTGGTTTGTCAAAGTGTGTCAGCAACTAGCTAAAGGAACAATACCAAGGTAACGAATCACATTCATTGGAAACTTTGGCACAAATTTTTAATTGTGGTTTAAATCAATTTTAACCATTTTCACATGTGCAAACCATTTCCATAAAAACTCTGGCTTAAGTCACAAAATTTACCAATGTGAGTAATTACAAAACAAAGGGGTATGGTAGAAGCATGTAGATGGAGGGACACAGAACAAAAGGACATGCACAAACCAATTCCATTAAGAACTCTGACTTCAGAATCTTATTTAATATCTTAAATTATAATATTTATCAATGGAATCATTACAAGTTTAGGGAAGGGGTAGAGGTAGTTAAACCATCGCCATATTGCACATCCCCACAAGGAGGGAGAAAGGAATATACAAAAGGAGAGTGTTTGAAGAATTGGGTTGTATGATACATTCTCATCATTATTCCTATCCTTATATCTTTAACGTTCCTCCCAACTTCAAATTTACAATATATTCACCATCCCTTCTATCTATTTATAAACCAAAAGAAAAAGAAAAAAATGAGACTACAATAAATACATACCTGATTCAAAAGGTTAAAGAGCTTCCTGGCCTTCTCAGGCACATCAACCAACCGCAGTGTTGCCATATCCAAGGCAGCCCTTCCTCCATAAGACTGTTCTTCTACGCTAATATTTATAGTCTGGTTTTGGTCTAGACTTGAACCAAATGCAGAAAAAGATAGTGTTGTGCTCAATCTAGCAAGTGTAGCTCTTAAAGATGCTTCAAATACAGAAGACCTGCTTGTCAAGCTATCTGCAACTGTCAGGATCTGCAATGCCCCTTGGACTATGGACCATTCCTCCTCATTTGATATCAAATCAACTCTTCGAGAATTTTGGTTTCCATCCTTCTTCTCTGTCTCCTTCTTATAAGTACCATCACTTCCATAATCCACACCACAGACAGTTCTCAGTGATTTCAGTGTTTCTTGCAGAGTGGAAATGTATTGTAACATTATGTTATCAAGAGCAAGAATCAGCTCATCTGCCTCAGAACCTCCAGTGAAGCTGATACATCTCTCTGCAGCTGCTTCAAGAAGTATAATTATTTGAGGAATAGACTCCTCCATCCTACGAACTGTTTCACTGAGTTCAACACCCTGAGCTCCCACCCCTCGAACAACAGCTCCTCTTAAATCTATTCCCGCAATCTCAGACGAAAGGATGGCTCGCTCCATTTGTCCATACCTGTGAGATATGCCCAATATAAGATGGAGTAAGGATAAAATTGGGTATTTGTAGACGGAATCGTAGAAGGGTTTCATATGTACAAATAGTGAGCATGACAAACCAATTGACTAAACGAAAAGGACTCATTAAAATTTATCTTTCAGCTTCTCTCGTTTTATATTTCTACATCTTGAGACAAATTGTGAAATATGAAGGTAACATTCTCTCCAATAGACCACTCAATTCTTCCATAATAATGAAACCATGTGCTAAGAGGCATAATCAGCCAAGTTTAATTTAAAATGTTCCAATTCTTTAAATTAAAATAAGCTTTTACCTCTGTTTAAACAATTCATAAGGCAAGTACACAGCTTTCAGCACATCCATTAAAACTCGGATATCAGAAGCAGAAAATAAGTGCTGAATATTCCTCGCAAAGGTCCCAGTCATATTGTGTAATTCAATCAAGGCCTCGAGATGCTTAGTTTGAATCTTAATGCCTTTATGCATATCTCCAACCAAAGTATCGAGTAAACCTATGAAAATTCATGAGCTAATATATCAACAACTTGTAGAGTTAACACAAAGCAAAATAGTTAACTGTTAAATTACACTTTCGCTTGATGAAAGGTATACGAATTATCAGAGTTCTAAACTTAAAACCTCTGGTTTCTTCAAGAACACAGAACGCCTATTCTAATCTAATTCAAAAGGTCACTGAAGAGATAATATAAAGGAGCAACAGATAAGATTTCGTGATCCATTGCAGTATTGCAATAAATGATAAAGTGACCCAGAAACTTGGTATTTGTCAAGATACAATAACTAGTAAACCATTATCAGTTACATATATTGGGCCTTACTGGAGTATTAAGGGAAGTATTTGTTTGCCATATACATATACCTCAATGTAAACCACAAGTAATTTTATCCCTCATCATTCTATTATTTTCAAATGTGAACAGAAAGAACAATTAACTGGAGCCAGAACTAATGACCAAGATAGTTCTCCAAGGAGCTCTACACAGCTTCAACTATTTTATATTTTTATTTACATATAGGAAACAGCCTGATGTGCAGGGACTCAAATTCATTATCACTTTCAAAGAAAAATGATGTTAACCATTTTTTTTATAGTGAAAAGCTCTATTGTATTATATGCAATGAAATGTTAAAAATACATAAATAAAGCTAACATCTTCCTCCAACACAAAATCATTCAAAAGATCTAAGTACCACCTTTAGCCAGTGCTTTTGTTTCTGGAACAGCATCTCCAATAGCAAGGTTGATACGAGATATGAAACCGGTCCCTATAGTCATCATAGTCTCACTTAGTAACCTCGGGACAAAAGTTTTATAATCTTCAGGAAAAGCAATCATGCACCTGCAAGTAACAGCTCAAATGCTTTTATTATGCAACTTTGATTAGTATTATCATTTAGTGCTAGCTGATGTTTGAGTAGCTTGACGAGAAAAATGAAAATCCATTAGCACCAAATTTTCTTCAATGGTGAAAACAATGAAAGCTAACACTAGTAATGGTACCATTTCCATTCTTGTTCAAGATAAAGCAGTAGCTCATCATAAAAGCTAGGTAGCCAACTGGAGAATGGTATTGCTGGTGAAACTGACTGAAAATCACTATTACTTGATAATCTCTCCATCTCATTCTTCTCATTGGCAGACTTATGAGCTCGTTCTCTAGAGTCAAAATCTTCCCAAAGCTGCTTAATTGGTTTCAGATGAACCTTTATATATTGTGATTCCAGAGACTTAAACCTTCCAATTCTAATGAGAATAGCCCGTAAATCTTGAGCAGCATCAACCTGAATAACAACAAGAGTTAAGGCAAGGGATTCAACACCAATCATGGGAGAAAAGAACGTATCTGACAGTCTATATATATTTATAACCTTGCGATTACTTAACGCATCTGTAATACGAGGCTGCACCATCGTATCTAGCCTATCCTCCAAGACTTCTAGTTGCTTTCTTATGTTGGCAAATTCGGCAACCTAAAACAGAGTGCGAGGGTAGGTGAAAAAAAAAATTATGAAACCAACCATAAATCTGAAGCCTCAGGCACTTTTTAAGCATCCGGTGTGGGAAATTTGTACCTCTCCAACTGCTGACAAGCAATGCCTCATGTTAGCTAGAGTTTCTGCAGCACGAGGCAGATCTCCACTGGCAAATACATCCTCCACAGTCGAACTCAATTGAGTTAATCCCGCAGCATCCTGTCGTTGAATTGCGAAGGAAGTGAATTTTATTTCCCTTATTATAGAGAATCTCACTGAACTAGTCAACAACTATCCAATATGAAAATTCAAAATCTCTACCTGCAACGTTTCATATGCAGCTTCCATCCTCTGCTTCACAACGTCGACTTTAGCAAGTGCAGCTATAGATTCAGCCGACGATCCCTCTGCCTATAAAATGAAAAAAAGAAATGTGAAAGCAAGATCACAGGTGCTTTCTCTCTACTAGATCTCAACATCCAGATCAGAATTTCAGATCATTCAATGGCGCGTAAGTTAGCAGATCTACTTTCTACAAACCAAAAGCATTGTAAAACTACAATTCATTGATATACACTGTAGAGCTCAATGCGATGGAAGATTTCAACGTGTTCCAAAACCTAAGGGAGAAACAACACAGATTGAAACCTACTCCGATCCGGAATTCCTTCGTACCTTCTTGAGCTTCTGGAGGATGGAGGAGACAGCGGAACGAAGAGAGACAGCGTCGTCGCGGAGTCGGATGACGTCGCGAGTGGCGCGAGGGACGCGGAGGAGAGCGGCGGCGCTCTGTTCCTCGAGCGACGCGGCGATTTCCTCGGACACCATCTGGAGCTTCATCTCTGTGTCCACGAGGTGTTTGTCCAAAGAGTCCTGAGGGTGTCGACTCTGAGACGCCGAATTAATCCATTTCTTGGGGTCGAAGTTCTCGTTCGAGAACGGACCCAAATCTAGCATCATGGTTGCAGCGAGCGAACCAGGAACTAACCACTACACACAATCGTCTTCTGCACTTGTTTATCCCAACGAACAAAGTATAATATCCAAATTTACAGGGGAAGCTGTAAATTAAACAAATTCAAAACGCACCGTTTTGTTTCACCCAACCAACAACTAACTGCTAGTATCTCATTTCTTATTGGGAACATTCATTCAGGTCAAACTAATAAATGGTATAGTTACCTCATTTAAAAAAAAAAATCTTAAATTTATTAATTTTATTTTTGGAAAATAATTAGTAAAAATGATAATCATGTATGTTTACATTGACAGCTTTATTGAGTTAAATATTACTAAATTATATTGAAATTCACATAAGTTAAATCCTGTTTTAATATATTAAGTAAATTTAGCCGTGTAAAAATGATAAGCAGTGAATGGAATCAAATATTACGAATTTTTTACCATGTAAAATAATAAACCATTAATTTGATTATCGGATTATTATCCTCTTTTCTAAGTTTTTTTTAATGAGAATTATTAAAAATATATTTTCTAACACATTTATTTAAACACATAATTTTCAAATAAAAAATATTCATGGATTTATTCTCTAAACGGTTATATTTCATTACAGGGTGTTTGCCATTAGCTTGTCTCAATTTTGTGAGAAAGAAGTTATCCGAATTAAATATAAAATTTTAACGTGGTTTGATTTTAATTTAAAAAAAATAAACCAAATCAAATTAATATTTTACGGTTTCAATGCTTTTTATGAATTAAATACTTGTTAAATAAATTAACATATTTCATTAATAATAATATATAAAATAAAATTACATATTTTATATTAAATAAAATAATATTTAATATTATAAATCATAAAAAAATAATTATTTAATAATTAAAATGAATTTATTTTTTTATGTACATCAAATGTACTGTCCTAGTAGATTTTGTTGTGGTTAAACTTCCGCTTCTGTTGTTAATACTGGCTTGTTCGAGATGCTGTTATGTTGCTGCTATGTTTTTTTTTTATAAAATTGTATAATTGGAAGTTTGATGGTTATGTTGTGTTTTATTTTGTTGGCATATATTTGAAATTTGAATTATGGGGTTTTACTCATACACAAGTCACACTTGCAGTTGTTCTTTTTTTATATCTAATATTTTATGTAACGTTTTATGTTTTAATTTGTTTCCATATAATCCATATCATTTAATTTAAATATATATTTATTTTTAGTATAAATAATTCGATGTTAAATATAATTAATATAATTTAGTTCTAAATTCTTAATCATTGAATAAGTTTTTCTAATTTTACACAAAGTTCAATATACAGTCAATTTTAATAAAAGATTGTTTATATTCAACTTTTATATTTAATATACTCTAAAATATTTAAAATAACTTACAAGAATAATAAAATAATTGTAAAAGTAAATTATTAAAAGATAAATGTGCAGGAAATTAAATAACATAAAAATAAATGTAACTTATTACCAAGGAAATTGATAGAAAAAAATCAATTAAAGTGACGATTCAAATTGCAAATAACTTCATTGAAAATGTTTATCTCCGAGTTTACAACGTTTTTTAGAATATAAATTACACAATTTGAATTACCTTTATTTTATTTTATATATATTGTTTTTCATAATCACTAAAATGACCATGAAAATAATAATAAAAAGTAAAAATTACAAATTATAATCTTTCAAACGCTTTTCCCTTACAACTATTTCACCTCGTTGATACATATTCACTTGTAACTTGCACATTCTACGAAATTTGTTTCTTAACCGTCTTCATCAATCATTTGAAGCACTATTGAAAAATTCTTCCATGTAACTTCCTCTCGATATATTCATGTTCACTTTTTCTACTCCTTAGATCCTCAATTCCTAATTTTTTAATGTTCTTCTCTTTTAATTCCTCGATTCTCAATTTGTCGATATTCTATCTCTTCTCGAAAAACTTAATCTTAACTACTCTTCTACCTCGCTACGCCATTCTCAATTTTTGTCTTCACTCTTTCCAACCATTCGATGCCCAATCAAACTCAATCTATTTTTTTTTTATCTTTTTGTAATTTTTACACTTAACAAAATGCCCCCTAAAAGAATACTTCTATGAATCTTTGATGAGTACATGTATTCTCTTGTCTTCAATACCACCTTCAAATATTTTATCCTTACTTTATCAAAAAGTTATTTTCTTATCCCATGTTTTCATTATTACTCTCATTCCCCTCATAATTGTAAAATTCTCATAATAAATGTGACTATCACTCCTTCATTCACATTATCCAACCCACACAAGAAGCTTCTGAATGCACCATAACTCCTGCCTTTCTCAAAATCCAGAGAAAGAGGAAAACAAAAGGCATCGCACCTCTCCCAATATGTTCTTATCCTTTCTTTTACCAAACACATCATCGATTCTTTATTTGCTCAATTTTACATCATTAGTTCTTCCTAATCAATTCGTATGTTATTCCAGAAAAAATCCAAATTGAAAACGACATCTTTGACCTCCACTCCACATTCATTTGTATAGGTAACACTCACCTCTTCACAAGACAAGTATAATCTTTAACTGCATCAACACTAAAAAACTTCATATAATCATATGTCTGGACCACCTACCACCACAACTCCTCCCATAACACCCACCACCATTGAATCAGATTTTGATGATGAGGACAACACTCCGCTCACACTTCGAATCCAAAAGAGAATCCAAGTTAAATTTTATATAACTTCTATACAACCCTCAAACTCCTTCCTGAATACATAATTTAAGGCTTACCTTCATTATCTTGATTTCTATATAAAGAGACTTCTACCAATATTTCAAGCAATTTAAAATTTGTAGTTGAAGTCTCTGTTAGTCCACCATGTTCCACTTCTCCACATAAGGTCAACATTATTTACTATTTCTTTCAATCATTTTTCGATTTGTTCAAAGACTAACTTTGAATTCTTAATGTAAAATAGGAAATATCTATTATACATAGCATTCTCGCCCCCGCCAAAAATCAACTTATTTTAATCGAGATTTAACCTGAATTAACTATCCCAAGTATCAATCTAAATCCCTTTGTTCATAAATTCCCTTTCATAACAAAATAAAATATTTCAATCTTTAACAATTTTTACACATGTCATTGCAAAATATCTTGAAATTGTTGTAGTTTCATCCGCAATCGAACCAATTCCCCAATTCAATGGGTCCCTCCTCTAAAACTTACTCTTAAAGTCAAAACATTTTTATGGATGAAATTGAAAGGGACCCATTCAACATCATAGAACTCATGATAACACATGGGATAGTTTTTGAAAATGCAATTAGCTCTTCGACCATTTCCTCACTGAGCTCCGATGTTATGAACTTGGTCAAGAAATTTAGATCTTGCACCTGTTTCTTGTCTCTTGAGACTATCATCGAGACGCCACACAAAAAACAAGACCTTTAAGAGATTTTACACAAAATTGAAGTCATCCCACTCGAGCAATTTTCTCAAGGTTTCAATGAAGAAGTCAACGAGTGTCATTTTATGATTCTCACTCAATTTTATTTGCTTGTATTTTAATAGAATATAAAAAATTTATCTACCTTAGTTACATTGAAATTATAAGTTCAGTTTGTCATTTTATCACACACTTCACTTTTTTTACAACTTATATACAAAAAACACTTTACCTAATAAAATTATAGATAATAAATAATATAATAAAAATATTAAATGATAGTGAAATCAATAGATTCTCCATATATTGAAAAAAAAAAGGTAATATAATTTTTAAAAATAATAATTATCTTCCTACCAGAACCTATCTACTCCACCGTAGATTCTCTCGGAAATATGTATATATGATATGACAAAATTTCAATATGTATATATGATATGACAAAATTTTGGATGAAAAAAAATAAAAAAGTGAGATGTAACGGGTTATAACGTTTAATAATTAAAACATAAAAAATAATTATAACGTTTAATAAACTTAAATTTAAATATATTTGATGAGACTATTTTCTAATCAATTGTGATGTCTTTTGAGGACCATTTTATTTTTGAAAAATATTTTTAATAAATGCTTTTAGTAAATATCTATGCTAAATGTTTTAACAAAAAATAAGGGATTTGCTTGCTCCCCACGACAGGAACGCACCTTCCAGAATCTCTCTCAACCGAATATCACTGCTCTGGAACCTTCTGGACCTTCTTCTAGCACCTTCTAGCTCCCCCCAACCCTTCTCCTCAAATATTGCACACTGTCTCTTCAATTTCACTGCACAGAGAATTCTCAGAGCTTGTTTTCCGTTAGAAGCTACTTTCTGCAATCTCAATGGCGTCCTCTCTCGTTGCCAAGCGCTTCCTCTCCTCTTCTATCCTTACCAAGTCTCTCCTTCGTCCTGCCTCTTTCGCTTCTCGCTCGTTCAACACCAACGCCATGAGCCGCTACGACGATAACAACGCCGACGTCGATAATCTCGCAGAACGCTCTTTCCCTCGCACCGTGCGTCGCGATGATATCTTCTTAGGTAGTTGTAGCCGCGCTCCCTAACCTCGCACACACTTAACGAATCTCTTCAATTATGTCTGCGGTTTAGTTTATTGACTTGATTATGTATAACACTGCTGAACCATTTTGTTTTGTTCGATTATTGCTATTTTGCAGATGTGCTTGATCCGTTGTCTCCCACTCGGAGTTTGAGCCAGGTTCTGAACATGATGGATCAGTTCATGGACAATCCGTACCGCTCTGCGCGCGGTATCGGAGCTGGAGCCGGAGTTCGTCGGGGGTGGGACGCAAGGGAGACGGAGGATGCTCTGTTTCTCCGCGTGGATATGCCTGGGCTTGGCAAGGAAGATGTGAAGATTTCCGTGGAGCAGAACACTCTTACTATCAAAGGTGAAGGTGCCAAAGAAGGCGACGAGGAAGAGAGTGCTCGTCGTTACACTAGCAGGATTGACTTGCCTGAAAAGTTTTACAAGATTGATCAGATCAAAGCTGAGATGAAGAATGGTGTGCTCAAGGTCATTTTGCCTAAAATGAAGGAGGAGGAGAGGAGAGATGTGATCAGTGTTAAGGTTAATTAGGAGAAACTTGTTGGGTATTATTTTTCATAGGCTCTGATTTTGTTTCTTTTCGAGGTACTTATGAATGTGTTTAACCCTGATACTCCCAACTTTTCTCTATAATGAATTTATGCAGGATTTTGAAGCTTGTTGTTTACTTGATTATGACTTAATCCTTGGTGTTTCTGTCATCTTTTAAGCTTATAAGAATCAAGCATTACCATAGTTGCATTTCTTGTTCTGCAAATTATGCAGTTGTTTTCTGCAATCCTTTTGCAGTGATCTGTTTAGTATTATAGGTATCTATCACCTCTCCTCTGCTGAGTTTTACCATCCATACCTACCATCATAGCGCCCCACAACCCAATTTGCTCTTGACAGTGATCACAAATTATCAGCCCTCGGTGCTTTGTTTTACAACTTTTGGATCAGTCTGTCACCATCCACTTGGGCTATCCTTTATGCATTTGGATTGGGAGAATCTAAGTCCATTGGGTATTTGAAATTAGCATCATATTTTTGATATATTGGCTATACTAGGCATTGGGTCCTTGGGTAGGAGAAATTTTTAGTTGTGCAGGATTTAGTTAATTAAGCTGATTTAAAAAAAAAAAAAAACATTTGGGCCTTTGTTTCAAGTGGGCTTCCTATAAGTTTGAAACAATGTTTGCTTGTTATTGATTAAGTCTCAAGTTTAAGGTTGTTGAATAGGTGAATTACAGATGAATTAAAACTAATTAAACAATATGAATAATTGAATAGCATAGAAAAATACATTAGATAAATAATATTATTTCTTAAAAGTATTTAAATCTAAAAATTAAAATATTTTTCTAAGTTTTTAATCTTATTTATAATATTAATAAAATATTTTTTTAATAACAAGTTTTGTAGAGAAGAAAATCGTAAATATTTTACATTGTTATATTTAAGGAAAAAATATTTAAAAAAAAATGAATGTTGTCCCTTTTTTTCTGAATTTTATGGGGATATTGATATGTGGATCGATTTAATTAAATTTATCTGTGTTGATCTAATTCTGACATACAAGTCAAAAACAGTCATTTGCCTTTTTAACTTTAAAAAACTTCGATTGTACTTTTTTTCTAAAATTTTTTAAGTAAATTTATCCTTTCACTAGTTTATCAGGTTAATTTGATTACTTTGTTCATACATCTCAATTTGAAATAGGCTAACTAGGCTAAAATTGGCACCCTTCAAAAGACACGAAACTAATAAAATGACATTAATCGAATAGACACGTCATATGAGATTAAAATGGAAATTTTCAATCTAAGACTAAAAAACTAAAATGTAATTAACGAAAAAAAATCTTATTTTATTCTTTTCATGTTCCTTGTGTTCACTTTCTTGTCCAGTGAATTATAAAAATTTCAAATTATTGTTTAATTGTTTTGCGCGCAAAGTTATTAGAATAATAAGCTCTATTTTATTAAACATTCTGAAGAGTCATTTTAACATTAAAACGAAAATGTTCGTGATAATAATTTCATACTTACTATGCTATGTTAGTGTTAAGAATCTTATATTTTGTAGAATATCTCTTAAGAAATCTCCAATCTGAACGACTTGAGTTACCGAAACACTAAACCACGAGGTTGGTTGCATCGAGAAATATCAAGTTCAAATTTTTGTGTGAATTTCATTTTTAATCTATTTTTTAAAGAAATATTAATGTTCGATTATCCAGGAAATAACAAGTTCAAATATTTGTGTGAATTTGACTTAGAGGGAATATTGATTTTGAAGAGAACGGTAGATTCTTGTAAATTAACGGGGTATTGTAAAATAGAGCATGTGTTCTCACACGTTCTAGAAGACTGTTTCAGGTAACGTATTTTACAGAAGATTATGTCAAAGAACGTTACAGAAGACTGTTTCAGAGAACGTGTTTTCACATACGTTGTAGAAGACTTTTTCAGAAAACGTTACCGAAAATGTTACAGAGAACGTTACAAGAAACGTTACACGGAATGTTATAGGAAACGTTACAAACCCACTACTAAGTTTTTATAACTGTTACAGATTTTCTCTTATAAATAGAGACCACTTCACACTCTTCAGAATACACATCTCTCATCTTTTCTTGTCTGATTCTAGATTAATTTACTCTTTTGAGAGTTTCTTGCTAGTTTTTGAGATCCTCGGATATTTCGAGAAGTTCCTGTTGTATCTTGGGGGACTTGTGCAATACACTGCGGATAAGTCCTTAAGGACAGTGATTATACACGTTTCAGGAATAAAGTTTGTTTGTGTCTCGGTTAGCTTTTACAACAGATTGAGTATCGATTATATGAGTGTATATCGAGTATTTGGTGTTAAGTGCGTGAATGTAGTATTATCTGTTGATGAGATATTGAGTATCAAAGAATTTACATAGAAAATTGAGTACAAAAATATAATAGTATAAAAGTTGATAGAAAATGAGAAACAATAAAACTTAGTGTCTCATAATCAAAGAATATACAAGTATCTATGGGAAGAAAACGAAGAGGGATATATGAAAATGTTTTAATATAGATGGAGTTAATATAATCTATAAAATGATTGAATAAAAATAAAAATTAAAGCAAAACTATTATTATAATACTAAAAGAGAGTTGTTTATAGGAGTTGTATGGATTTGGGTTGTCAAAGTATCATTTTCCTTAATATAATTGAATATTTTAAGATTTCTTCAAACTATAAATAAATATTGGTTACTCTTAATTCAAAAACTAGATAATTGGATGTGAATGTTGGAGGAGATTATGATTTTATTGTTATTTGTTGAAATTTAAGAATAAAGAGTAGTTTGTTGAAGAGTAAATTTGTTTATGTGATAAAAGAAAGTTATAAAATTATTCATATTATTGCCTATTAATTGAAAGAAAATTATACAATTGTTTATGCAATTTATATATTTGTTTTTTTTAATACTTATTATATAAGGGATAAATTTTTATGTATACATCTTTATGCAAATTATTATGTAAGAAAATATGTTTGATGTTTAATTATTTTATATGTTAACTATTTATGATTGTCATGTATAAAAGTGTTTTGATAGTGAAAGAAAGTATTGATAAAATCGAAATCTTCAAGTTAAAAACATTTTTTAATAATAAGTTTATAATTATATTTATCTATTGTTTTATTGTCTTTGTACTTAATATATACATATTTTTAATAATAGTTTTGTTTTATTTTAAGAAAGTGAAATAAGTGTTTATGTATCGTTATTTTTAAGAATAAATATTTTTTTAATAATTTTTTCTAATGTTCATGATTGTGAGTTTTCTCATATGATTTTATGTATAGTTTTTAAAAGGTGAAATATTACGGAGATAAGGTGTAGGAATGTAATTGATCAATTGATAATATGTATGACAATATAATACTAAAATTGTTGAGTCAATTTGAACTAAGATTAAAAAGCTCAAGTGATAATAAAAATGTGTTGATGTTTCCTTTTAGCTGATTCATTATGTTAGTGGATTTTAATGTAGATAGTTTGATGTATAATCCTTTTGAGATTGTAAAATTCATGTTAAACTCATATTCATTGTCAAACTTAATGCACTTGATAGTTGTTTGAAATTGTTTTTTAGTACATGTAATGAAATTTATAATATAATTGTGTGTATTAGAAGATTAATAAGAAAAATCAATGTGAATCATGTGTGATAATCAATAATGATGAGAAAATATTTATTTTTATGCATGAAAGTGTTGGAACAAAGTCCTTTTATATCAACGTGAATAAGATTGAAACATTCATTAGCATGAGAATGATTGTTTTGTTTAACAACATGACAAGTTTAATAAATAAAATTTTACTATTATGTATGTAAGGATAATGTTTCTTCATTATATTCATTCTTTTAGAAGATAAATGATCTAATATAGCATGTTAATGTTGTGTTATTGCCATAATTAGCACTTGTATTCACATTATGTGATTATTCTTTAAAAGTATATATATCATTTTTAATTTTAACTATGACAATAATAAGTTATAATTGTAATTATTATATGTTTTGACACAAAAGTTATGTTTTAAGAAAATGTTGGTATAAATAATATATTTGTGAGAAAAAATTTATCATTAATTTCTACAGATCCCTTATATGAAACATAAACATAACTGTTATTAGAAAAAAAGATTTATAATTAAAGAATTGATAGGTTTATAAGAAACAAAATTTGATAGAAAAAAAGATACATGATCAATAACTCTAAAATTAATAATCCAATTCATGTTATGTACTCGATTATTTATGTTAAAATTGATGATAGAGTGACAATTACCTTTATTCTTACCATTAAGCGTATCATTTTGTGAGACAACTAAATTTGCGAGTGATTGAGTTGTTGACTTGTGTAAAATTAGACTTACCTTTAGTATTAGTTTGTTGTAAAAATATTATAAGAGTTTGATATTATTATTCAGTGAATTTAACATCTTAAGTATTTAATGTAATATTGTTGATATTATTATCACTAGTACAGAAATCACTTTTAACATCGGGCTTTCCACATCGGTTCTTTAAGAACCGATGTAGAAAGTGAATTCAAGACTTTTAACATCGGTTCCGGATGAACCGATGTAAAAACATTTTCTACATCGGTTCCCAGATGAGCCGATGTAGAAAGTCTTTTTATAAAATTAAGAATTATTCCTGGCAGGATTCGAACCCAATACCTTGAAGTCGGAAGTCGATACTCCAACCACTAAGCTACCTAAATTTTACGATAATAACTTATACATAAATTATATTTATATACAAATAAAAATGTATATCCATGTAAATATATAAATATAAAATATATAAATACAAATACAAATATATTTATATATTTATATGTTGGATGTGAGAGCGCGCTCGAGAGTAAAAGTGTGTGTCAAGTGGGTTTTCAAAATTTGATGTCAAATTTGTGAGCAAGTTTCTTTATATGAATTTGTAATTTAATGATAGAATATAATCTTTATAATTTATTTATAATAATATAGAATATAA